CATATTTGTAAATTTATATTATATTATTTAATATAAAATGATTATATTGACATGTGTCGAGTTATTAAATTATACAAAATATAGATAGGGGGAAAGCCCCCTCAATTTGCCATACAAATTTATTTTGATCCCCCCAATTTAATATTCTCAATTACGTCACTGAAACCATAACGTGCAAAAATGCACCGATAAGAGTAAAAAAATTAGTAAAAAAAACAAAATAGCAAAGAACGAGGCAATCTTGTAAGTTTTTTGTCGAAAACAACTGCCAATGTAATAATTGAAGGAATAACTAAACTAATGAAATAGAAAATATCTGAGGAAACTAAATAAGCCAATTTTTTTACAATACAAATTGATACCATGCAGTATATCAATGTGGTCGACCAGTGTTTCATTGGAGTCAGATGCGTAAATAACCAAGTTCATAAACGAGTTGTAAGCATTGTTAATTGTAAATAGGGTAAGTTAAAGATATGCACGAACTTGTTTCAAACGAGTTAAAAAAATTAAATTAAAAATTAAAAAATGTATTAGGAACTCAACTAATGGTGCAGCTAACATGCAAGGCCAATATAAAGGATTCACTGAGTGTTTAACTGATAATTCATCCAAACAACTTCATGTATGGCGCTTTACATACGTACTAAATTTAGTTGTATCGGATATAACGATGTAACTCAAAAAACTAATAAGTATAATTCACTCTTTAGTTTTTTGAAAAAAGATGCGGGATTCTTTCGTTAATCATATTTACGAATTAATTTTTGGAAAAATACGACAGAAGATAAAAATATTAGTTTTATAAATTCGTTAGGTGAGACAAGCTGGTCCAAAGAAAAATCGTTAAGGAAAGTTTTTGGATCTTTAAATGACTCTCAAAATTCAATCTTTGTTCAAATATGTCAAACGTTGTTTAATATTTCGACATCAGAAAGTATGAACTCAGATACACGATTTAATGTTAACGTGTACTTACAAATGTTATTAAAATTTAACACAATAATAACTGCACAATTATTTATTTTTATTTTTATAAATACCACTCCATTATCAAATTATTCACAAACATCAAGAATTGATTTGCTACAATCATACAAAATGGTAGGAAATACAATAAAAACGTTAAAAGATGCAAGTAGACAATTTATTGATACGTACAAAAAAGCTAAATATTTTTTGTCTGCTATGAACGTGATTTTTGAAAATTAAGATACAACATTCAGAGTTAAGCTTTTGATAGAATCTAGCACTCAAAACACTACAAATGAAAACTTCTCTTTTCTAGCCACTACTATTTAATCATCAAATCCTATCTCGAAGACCGGTTCTTTTCCGTACGCGAAGGTTCTACTTTTTCTTCTCCTACTGAAATAAAAGTAGACGTACCACAAGGCGCAGTAAATGCTCCAATGCTTTCCAGTCTTTACGTCTCAAACTGTCCTACCTCACCCCATACTCTAGTCGGTGACTTTGCTGACAACAAAGCTTTATTAACAACCATCTCAGATCCTGTCGTAGCTTCCTCTTACAAACAAGGCCATCTCAACACCCTTGAATCGTGGTACAAAACATGGGAAGTAAATATGAATGAAACCAAATCTACGGTACCTTTGCACTTCGCCACGGTATATGTCCAACACTTTTCCTCAATAATCATCCACTCCCTCCTGCCCAGTATGTATGATAACTCGGCATCCTTGTTGGCCGCCGCCTCACCTGGAGACCTCACATAATTAGTAAAACCCGTACACTTAACGACCGCTTCCGTCTCCTTTGACCACTTCTAAGATCAAAGCATATGAAGCTCTCCAATAAGCTACTACCTACTCTATAAACTCCTACTCAGCTCCATTTGGATTTATGGGATCCAATTATGGGGAGCTACCGACATTTCCAATATCAACCGCATCCACAGATTCCAATCAGAAACTCTAGGTACAATTCTAAAAACGCCATTCTTTGTCTTTAATCACACCCTCCCTCCGACCTCAAAATTCCATATGTCTCTGAACTATCCAAAACTCACTACAAACGTTTCAATAGGAGATTAGCACACCAAACAAACCCCTAATCTCTGATCTATCATCTGCTTCTATATCAGGTAACCCAATTAAAAGACAAAAAAAACAATGATGTCGTGACCTGCTAACCTAAATAAATTATTTAGAATTGAAGATAATTTTAAAAAAATTAGAATTAAAAGAAAACAAAATTTCACGTCGATATTATCAATGATACCCCACAATTGTCCTGAAAAAAATTATGAAATTAATGTTTATAGCATAATCTTGGATGCTGTTATTGAGAGTTTAGAAAATATATTTTCAAAGAAAAAGAAATGTACGTAGACCTTGAATGGCTACATCCTAATAATTTTAAATTAATATTAAATTTACCTGAAAATGCGTTGAATAAAATAACTTAGCTTTTGACAGACTTTTCACCAAATATCGATAAAAAAAATTTTACAAGAACAATTAATAGATTTTAAAGGAAAAATGGGACTCACTTTCAAAAACATTAATTAAAGAATATAATTGTATGGTATTGGAACTAAAAAAGAACGAGAAAAAAGTAAAATCTGAGTTAGCCAAAGAATACCTTGTACATAAAAAGACGTGTAAAAATTGTATATTTTGCTGTTATCAAATTTGATGTAAGTATAACTTGTATGCTACAGCATATACAGAATTGTTTTTAGTATACAAGTTTTTATTAAGGTTATTCATAACTCAACTTCAATGTGAAAGAAAATTTTTGAAATTAAAATATATTTTGAACAGATTAAGTAGTAATTTAAGTCAAGACCGTATGGATAATTTATTATAATATCGTGTGAGAAATATATATTATATTCTTTACAAAATGTAAATATAATTGAATATGACGTGCAAAGCAGTAACTTAATGAAAAAATTACCAATTGTATAAATAAATTGATAATTAATATAATTTAATACATAATATAGCCTATAGGTACTTTGTAGGTAACTATGTTTTTTATTTTGTTTACAATTAGTAATTAATAAGTACCTATAATAAGTATTGTATTTTAAAATAAAAAATAACTATAGAACTATATGTCTATATATTTATGTGTATACATATGTATAATAATTATTAGACGTTTAATATTTTATTTTAAATAAATGGTTGACAATTCTATATATGTATTTAACTAAGCTTGTAAATTTTAATTAATCAATTTATGTTCAATTTAGTAATAAAAATGGAGATTTGGTGTCCTCCAGACCCATTTTCTCTATTGTACTCGTAATATAAATTTAAAATAATTTCACTTTGGTATGGCCGGTCAAATTGTTCAGCCCGGACTGGGTTTGAAGGGTCAGTCCAAACCTGCGATTACCCACCCCATTAAAATTATTAAATTGTATTAAAATAAAGGGACCTAATCAAAATAATATGAAATAATGTGAAATGTGCAAATTAAATATTAAATTTTTCTATCACACAACACTACCTACTCATCCTATTTCAGTCATGAAGCAGCTGCTTTAATGTAATCCACATAGCGCCGTCATTGATCATAATTAGTGATGTTAAACTGTGAAAAATATTTATCACACTGTAATATTACTACTGTGATAAAAAAAAATCACAGTGAAAATAACAGTGATTGCTACTCTAACTGCTACTTTCTATTTTGCACGTATCTATGGCGAATCACATGTTTACTTGACACTATCAGAATATCACAGTAATCCATCGTTAGAATACTACTCTATTTACTATTTAGTCGTGATATCAGATAATATTTACCTAATGTAAATATGACATAATATTAATCATTATTCATTACTTATGAATAATGACGAACATAATAAATTAAAAAATATTATAATATTAATAAATATCTATCTATAATCACATATTTGTATGTTTTAATATATATAATTTTAATGAATGGTATTTTATCTAATATATATTATTTATTGATAAAAATAATACATTATATTTCAATCCATATTATAATTATTTATTATTAGTAAACTATACTCTATGTAGTAAACTACTTCCATCTCCCACTATTTTTAGTATCTACAGTCTTAACATCAATTTATCTACACTGTGACTGTATAATGCACACAAGTGTATAGTACTATAGTTGCAAGTGGCAAATACTACTTGCTACTTGTTACCAGAGCCCAACTTAGAGGGGGGCTAGGGGGGCTACAGCCCCGGGCCCCAATATTATTTGGGGCCCCGGGCCTCTGTTGACAATTAAATATTTAAGTGGTATTGTAAATTTTTAAGATATTATTTCTTTCGTTTAAAATTTACAAAACAAATTAGTCATGTTTTGTAATGATTTAAAATTATCATCTAATCGATAAAATAAAGCTATTACATTTTGAGATAAAGTTGGCCAAAAACACTACCATTTATATTTACCCATTCTATCAGCTAATCATCAATGTGTATACCTATAGGCCAAGTTTAAACACTTGTATGATAACACGAATCGCAACAGTTGTAAACTGTGCATTATTTAAAAATATCTATGGTTTTTGCGAACGCTCAGTTTATCTAAACGCGGGTATACACTATACAGTCTACTGTTTACCTCTACCAAATCGTTAAGGTATTTTCTATTACATACATTTTGTTGGTTAGTTTTACATCATTAATACAATAGGTACGTTAGTTAGTATTCTGCTGACTGTCGTGACTTGTGATTTTAAATTGGTTTTTAGTAGAGTTCGTGAGTTTTGTTCGTTGTTAGTATATAATAAATACTATTGAAATTTGAAAATGTCTGACAAAAAAAGGATTTATCTCAGTGGTTATGCAAAACGAAAATTAAAGAAGGAGGCTGAAGATGCAGTAAGCAAATTACCTAAATTAACGAATTTTTTTAAAACTTTCAACAGTGTGAACGAAGTTGAAGTAGAAGCTAATACAAATAATAAAGATGATTTGGTTCTAAATAATAGTTATCTTGATGTTGAAAACATAAATAACGATAGTAATAGTATTATGTCTAATACAATAATCACTTCAAACTATGATGCTTTAAATTTTTCTGAAAATGAATCTGACAATTGTTTTACAGTAGAAAATTCAGTGATTGCTACTAATTTTAATTCGGATGTTCATAACTTTGAAATTGATATTGAATCATATCAAGATCCGGGAATGTGGCCTTTAGTGTTAAACAACACTTTTATAGAATTATGCTGCTTAAAAGGACCAGCATTTTTTCAGAATATGGATCCAAAAAAATGTCATTCTTCCGAAAAAAAATTTAAAAATTATCATCGCTCATTAAATATCTCATTATTCGAATTAAAATTGCCTAATGGTGAAATACACTCACGTAAATGGCTTATGTTTTCTGAACAAACTCGCAACGTTTACTGTTTTGTTTGTAAACTATTTAATAAATCAAATAATTCAAGTTTTATTAATCCTGGTTTTAACAATTGGAAAAAATTTTACGAAAAAGTTAAAGAACATGAAAATAGAGCACACCATCGTAAATCAATGTTAACTTGGTTAGATCGTGTAAACACTAAACATCGAATAGACAAAACTATGGCCGAAAAAATGTTGAATGAAAAAAAGTATTTGGTTAAAGTGTTGCACCGTGTAGTATCAGTTGTTAAATTTTTGGCTGTTCGTGGGTTAGCATTTGAAGGTAATGACTCACGGTTGGGTTCTCCGAGTAATGGAAATTTTCTTGGAATTCTTGAAATTATTTCCGAATTTGATCCCTTTTTAAAACAACATATGAATGCACGCGCTAATAAAAGATGTATCTTATTTTTCAATGCGTATTTGTAACGAAATAATTGACCTAATGGTAAATGAAGTTTTATTAGAAATAACTAAACAGTTACAAGAAACTAAATACTTCGGTATAATTTTAGATTCTACTCCAGATAGAGCACATAGAGATCAATTTGCTGTTGTTGTTAGATACTGTTATAAAGGGTTAGTTGTTGAGTGATTCTTAACATACATTCATATATTAAGCCATACTGGTATTTCAATGGCCGAAGAAGTAATACATTTTTTGGAAAATAATAATATTAATTTGCAGTATTGTAGAGGTCAATCATACGACAATGCTAATAATATGACTAGTATATATGAGGGTTTACAGGCTCAAATAAAAAAAAAATGTAGTATTGCTTTATTTGCACCTTGTTTTGCTCATTCTCTAAATTTAGTAGGGTCACATGCAGTGAAAAGTTGTTTAGAAGCAATCAATTTTTTTGGTGTTGTTCAAAAATTGTATGCATTTTTTGCGGCCTCGACACATAGATGGAATTTGCTTTTGACTAGTCTAAAATCGGAAGAGAAAAATAAAATAATCGTTTTGAAAACATTAAGTAATACTAGGTGGGAGTGTCACACGGAGTCTTGTAAAGCTATTATCTTAAATTATGACCAAATTATATGTACATTAACAGATATTTTTGAAAATTGTAATGAAAAACAAGAAAATCGTCATGAGGCTAATTCAATGAAAAATAAAATGATAAAATTTAAAACAGCTTTTATGGCAGTTATGTGGAGTGAAATTTTATCGCAGTTTAACAGTGTTAGTAAATACCATCAAAAACCGGGAATAGATTTATTTACAGCCGTAAATTTATTAAAAAGATTAAAAACTTATGTTAGTTCATTAAGAGAGAAGTTTATATATTTTGAGAATTAAGCAAGGGTATTATCAACAAATATTCTGCCCTGTGTTGAAAAAAGTGTAAGAAAAAAAAAATTCTCGGATGGTACAATAGAAGGAAATTCAAACTATTGTGGTATAAGAAAGTTAGAGATTGATACTTTTTACGTTATTATTGATCGTTTAGTTACAGAACTTGATAAAAGATTAAACGCATATGATAATATTTGTAATATTTTTGGGTTTATTACAAAATTTGGTTCAGAATTATTATCAGAGACTTCTGCCAACGTATTCATTAACACATTTAAAGATGATATTAATACAACTAATATAAAACAAGAGATTGTGCACTTTTCAAATTATGTAATGCAGTTAAATTTACCAATAATTACTCCTCAAAATATTTACTTATATGTACATGAAAATAATTTAAAAGAAGTCTTTCCAAATGTGTACATTTCTTTACGAATTTATTTAACTTTGCCAATTTCAAATTGTGAAGCAGAAAGAACAAATTCAAAATTAGAACTTATTGAAAACGCCAGAAAAACGTCCCTTCACCAAGAAAAATTAAACTCACTCGTTCGTCTATCTGCTGAAAGGGAAATAACCGACACATTGGATTTTTCAAATCTAATTCAGAAGTTTAGTGAACTTAAATCTCGAAAGAAACTATTGACTTAAATTTTTATATTTAATTTAGTAAACATTAATAAATAATTGATATTTTTTATTTTTACCGGTAATTAATAATTATTTTTAAATATTATACAACTATTAACAATTGATTTTTGATCTGTAAATAAAACTTTTGTTCATTAATGCAATAATGTTATTTTAATGTTGACTGTAATTTTTAAATTATATTAAACAAATATTAAAGGCCCCTAAAATTATATTGCCCCGGGTCCATATTTCCTAAGTTGGGCTCTGCTTGTTACTACACTTACTACTACTCACACTTACTACTACTTGCCAAGTAGAAATTAGCAATAGTCACATATCACTATTTCATAAATCACAGTGTTAAATATTTTTCACAGTTAGACAACTTAACAGATTTGTGATATCATCACAGTGTGATAAAATCACTGTTATATTATATAGAAGTACCCACCTGTCACTGCTACTGCTACTCATTGGATCATTGTGAAAAGTAGCAGTGACTAATCATAATCCATAACAGTCACAGATTATAATAATAAACAATACTTTTTATTTGTGATGAATGTTTGGTTGCCTGACGTACAATTTTGCTAACATATCTTTCTGACTCTACTAAATGTTTCACCGTTTTTCATGCTTTTATTTTTATTTTATATACATAAAACATAAATTACAAAATGTATTTTTACTTATATACTACGACAATGACATTATAGAATATTTTAATATATAATACTTTACATGTGTATATATTCTATCTATACATTCAGAATGTCCCACGTGGATTTACTAATTTTAAGTGCTAAGGTAATGGAGTTTTCATTACTCATACCACTTTAAAACATAAAAATCTTGCGGGACGCTTATAAGACTCACGGATATATGGTTTGGACGTATGCAAATACATAAAAAAAAATCGGTTATAAGACTCAAATTTTGTAAAAAAAATCGTGGAAAATAAACAATTATGTTGGTAATTATTAATTGATGTCGTAGTTGAACCATCATCAAAGACATTCTAGAGATTCTAACTGTTAAGGGGAGTTGTTCATCAACGAATCATTTATTTTAATATACAATACGAGCAGTATATTTCCAAAATAGTTTAAAAAAAAGTAAAAAACAAACTAAAATCACAAATGTTTTTTAATAAATAATATAAATTGTTAAAAATAATAATAATATATTTATTTTATAATAAGTACCTATAATGTAATATTTAATATAGTAAAAGTAATTATATTCAGATTTTTGTTTGTATTTTTTTCCACTTCTTCAGATAATAGGCGCAATTAGGGGGTGCAATAGGGTTTTTAGCACCTCTGAGTTCAAATGTAGCACTCCTGTTTTTCAGATCTATATAATCTATAGTAATTACAGTAAAATACCATTTAATTTTATTTTCATCAATTTCAGCACCCCCAATATTTGGGCTATAGTTGCTCGTATAAGATTCATTCGGTTAGACTCTGTATATGCTGGTCCCAAAATGAGTCTTAAAGAAGCGTTCATTGTATTTTTTATGTATATATATACATATATATACTATATAGATTATAAGGGACATGACTTAAATTCCGAAATGAACGCAACACAATATAAGGACTTAACAATATATACAACAAAACACATAAAAATTACACTTCGATAATGACATATAGATGCCAGAGGAGTATGAGAGAATATAATAAAATAATATATGTATATCTACATTTTTTTATAATTCGTAGAATAAAACATATAAGTTTATGAACATAATATAAGCATATTACGTATAACATATAATATATATTACATATAACATAGAACCTATCAAAAAAGTCCTCTTTACATTTTTCTCCCCCTAGGAATTGATTTCCAGAATTTTATGAACAACTCCTAAACACAGCAAAAAATACTATATAGTGTACACGGATACATAAAATAAAATGAGAGAAAATGAAAAAATAAACACAAATCAAGGTAAATGGAAAGCTATGGATTTCAATAACTATTATTATGAAATATTATTGATTAGTAAACTACTAAGTGTGGGATTAATGTGGGTCGTTAAATTATAATTTTCCTCAGGTCTGACAAAATGTTTATTACCCCACTGCCTATGAATGGCTCCAGAAACCAAAATAAAGACGGGTCTGTATGTCAAAAAGGATAATAAAAATTTAAAAAACCAATTAATTACACTTAAAATGCAATGCATCTAAAAGTTGCTTTAATCATAGATTAAATATATAATAATAATAAAAATATAATAATATATTTAATCTATGCTATAATATACCAAAATAAATTACAATAACATATTACGAGTATTTGTTTTTTTTTTATTATTTTTTAGTATTACTATTACATCTCAACAATTATATAATAACATAGCAAATAACAATTAATATTAATAATATGTATATAAGAAATTAAAAACAGCAATAATATTAAAGATAATGATATGGTGAAACCAGCCTCCAAAATAAAATTAATAATTATATTTTAAACTATTTCGGAATTGGAGTTGAGGATAAAGAAAAGATTAAGGGGGACATTAATGGATTTAAGAGAATAAAACAAAATAACGCATTTCGCGTGCAGATACGGACAATCGAAGAGAAGGTGAGGTAGATCGCAATCACTTTCGTTGAAATTTAGAGAAAGAGTGGAGAGTCGTTTAGTCCTAATTTGTACGCGTGAGCAGGTAGTAATGTGTGACCGGTACGTAGGCGATTGAATTGTATGATACTTGATCTTGATAAATTAAACCATGTTTTGTTAAGAACATTTGGTACGATGTTTTTGTATCTGGTAGTAAAATCAGCTGGGAGGTTAGACCAGTATGTAGATATATACAAGGTTGGATATATAACGCCGTAAAATTGGAATGAAATCGGTACGAAGAAGTTGGGTGAGAGGAGGACATATTAAATTGGACGTTGATTTTGCCAGATTATCAGCGACCTCATTCCCATGTATCCCGATATGGCTTGGTACCCAAAGAAATTGGGTAGTATAATTGACTTGATGGAGTTTTAGGATAATTGATTTAATGATAAGGACTAGGGAAAAAAGGTGTGAGTCAAAAGGATTAGATATTAGTGATTGTAGACATGACATTGAATCGGAAGCAATTAAGTATTTATTAGAGGCAAGGCTAGAGATAAGAGATAAAGCTTCAATGATAATATGGCACTCTGCAGTAAAAGATGAAAAAGAAGGAGGTAGATTGTTTGTGAAAGAAATATGAAGTTCAGGAATATAAAAAGAATAACCGGCAGAAAGAGGTGAAACTGAGCTATCAGTATACACCACAATGAAATTATCAAAATTCAGCTTAAGAAATTCAGAAAAGATTTTATTGGCCATAGGATAAGGCATTTTTTTTAGTTTCTGAGAAGATAGAAATGAGAATTGATTTTCTATTCTAACGAGAGGAAAGAATAGAAGAGATTCGAATGATTGTTCGTAAATAGGTAGTTTGGAAAATTTACAAATGTATTGGTAAAAATTAGACAAAGCGCTAGCTGAGATTGATAGTATGGGCATGAATTTAGGTACATAACGCCAAGAAAGAAATAAGGAATAGAACATATCAAAAATAAAATGATTAAAGTAAGCTAGAGATTTAAGAAGGAATTTGCCAGCTAACCATTGACATACTCGTA